TTTGGATCCTGAGACTGTGAAGGAATTAGGTCTAACATGCATTCCCCACACACTATACTCTCAAACTCAGTTGGATCCTTCACTGGCCTCTGCTGTTGCCAGTTGTTTAGCCTCCAATTTACTCTTTAATAACATTGGGGGTGGGAAAGGGTGGGGGGAGATAGGCCTGGCAGCTTCCCAGCACCTCTCTTGGGCAGGCTGGCTGTAGAAAGCAGGCTGAAGTTTAATGCAATCTGTCTTCTTTCATAATCACATTTTGCCTGTACTTGGTGCAATAAAGACGTATTGGTAAATGTGTTTGCTAAAGATATACTCTGCTAGGGGGAAAAAAGTCAACACTCCACTCCTCCCCAAATGCTGCCCCAATCCCCCAAAGCTAAAAGCCTGATTTGTAGAAGGGAGAGAAGAAAAATGCCCAATGCTGGGGGATAGGACTAGAGACAGCTGGACAGTAGCATCCCTTAGCATAGCATTTCCCCAAATAAGAAATCAGGTATGCCAAGAATTAGTTAGGCACTTGAAATATCCTATAGGTCTAGGGATTGGGGGGAGGGGAGGATGGGAGGTGGGAGGAGAAAGCTTCTAATTAAAGTTTTAAGCTTGCTGATTTGCAGACATACAAAGACCTTCTTGGTAAATAGGAAGGATAAAAAAAAAAATTCCACCAGGACTTACACCATTTGGTCTAATACAGCCTGACAATTTTCCCCATCTCCGTCTGTTGAAGATTCTTCAGGGATGGTTGGCAGCTTGCTTCATGTTAGACTTAAAATTAAGCAAATGATTCCACCCTTAGTAGGAGAGAAAACAGCCTCTCTCCATCCTTAGCTTCTTTACCTTTGGAGGCTCAGAGCGCTCCACTCTCCGCCTCCTTTGGAACCTCAGAAGTTCTGTCTCTGATGGTGCCATGAGACAGCCATCCCCTACTTCCAAGGAGATGAACAGTGAGAGGTCAATGCTGGGCTGAAGTATATTCCCTGGCCTGGGTGGTATACAACATTTCCATGAGGACTGCTCTACTCTAGGAAAGATTCAGGGGGCATGAGTTGAACTGGGCCTTTATAAGGGCCCTGACATACCCCAGCTCCCTCAAAACCTATCTCAATTTGGTTCCTGTGGCCTTTGAACTCTAGGGGGACTATATTCCAGGCACCTGTCTCTCAACATTTACCTAAAACTCAGTTGGAGGGAAACCTTTTGGCTGCTGGACAGAGACAGCTACAGATATGAACCTTGAGGTGCAAGGACTTGCTTCAGCCGAGAACTGCTCTGACCTTGGTTACCACATGTAATCCCACAAAGCAGCTGGCTCTCTGGATTTAGAAAATGGGCTTATCTGTGGGGAAGAGAAGTGAGCCCTCACCCTTTATCAATGCACTGATGCAAGAATGAAAATCCTCTTTTTTAAAAACTAACTCTAAGAGCTTTTCATCTAAGATAGCAAGTGGAAGCCAAAGATCTTTGGTGAGCACAAATGTCCACCAAGTCAGGAAGGGATGGGACACAGGGGAAGTGGCAGGCCCTCAGGGAGAAGAAAAAGACAGAGGGGAGACAGGTCTTTGTTTGATAAGACAGAAAGAGAAGGGGTCTGGCAGGAGTAAAATCTTTTGAATAAATTCGGTATATTAAGTAGTGGCAAATATCAAAAAA